TAGGGGGAATCCTGATGGGCCTTGCTCTGCTGATGTAACTCTTTGCTTCTATGGTGGTAGGATGTATATAGATTCCGGGCCTGGGAGGGGTCTTTGGTTGGGAGGAAAGCTTCTAATGTTAAATACTCGAGTAAGAGCAGAAGGGTCATCCCCAGAGCCTATCCACGAACCTTTTGGGTTTTGTATCTCCTGTGCTATCCCAGTAACCAGCTTCCTCTGCTCACTGATCATCCCTTCCATGCTGGGGTCACTCTGCAGAGATAAGCCTGAGAGGAAGCATCTGTTTTATTTTTTATAATAATCAGGCTTTTACCACATCTGCCACCAATAGATCCTCAGTACATGTTCATTGACTGTATTTAGTTTTTTGAGACAGGGTCTCCCTGTGTAACTCAGACTGGCCTGGACTCACTCTGCAGCCCAGGCTGGCCTTGAACTCACAGTGATCCTTCTGCCTCAGCCTCCTGCAGGCTGGGGTTATGGGCATGCACCATCTTGCCTGTCTAGTACATGTTCATTGAATGAGTGAATGATTGAATGGATGAGTGAGTGAATGAGTGAACAGAAAGGTACTTCGCTTTATGAAGCTAGAAGAAACTTAGATATTAAAATAGAACTAAAAAGAAAGCTATGGGCCTGTATCACTTAGGCATATGTATGCAGCATCCTACAGAAATTTCATTAGACCAAATTCAACAGAACATGAAAAGAATCATCCAGTATAACCCAAGTTATCCCGAACCAGCAAGGGCAGGTTTCTGTGATGAGAACTTGCACTGTGGAAATATCAAGTGTGACAGCCATTTCAGAAAGCAATCCAGCAATATCCATTAAAGTTAGAAATATGTGCGCCTTCCGAGCCAGCTCTTCTGCTCGCGGGAATCTGTCCCACAGAAGTGAAAGCACAGGTTTCAGGGAACACAGTGGGAAATATTTACTGCAGCTGCGGAGCCAGGAAGGCGGACCGCAGCGCCTGCGCAGGGAGAGTCCCGGTTGCATGAGTGATGGTGCGTTCACGGTGTGGTGTTATACAGCATGGAAAGAGAGCGAATTAAAGCCATTTCACATGCTTACCACAAGGTGTTCTTGAGTGGGAAGAAGCAAAATACATTAAAGTATGTGTAACAAGACCTCCTTTGCCTAAAAAATAAAAACAAAATCTAAAAATCAAAAGCAAAATAAAAACAAAGGGAAGCCAAATCTTGTATACTAACTATGTAAATGACCATAAATATTACTGTTTTTTAAAACTTTGTTTTCTTTCATGTAAAATTGGGGGGATAATACATATCTTATAGGAACTTGGAGAGTTAAATCTGGTACATGTAAAGTGCCATATATATAAAGAGTACATGATTATTATTATTATTATGTTTATAGATTCAATATATGCCAAGTCAAGGAAAAATATGGATGGGCACATACTAGACTGTTAAGATTAACCAAATTATAGTGTATGTAGATGGGTTGGTTAAGGTTAAAGGGACAGAGAAAACTCAAGTAAATGAAGAAAAGAAATGCACCTTCCACATTTATGAATGCATTTTAAATTAGGCCATGTGGTTCTAAGTATAAAGAAATTAAACTATTTTAAGAGGAAAAATGTATTACTAAGTATATCTAGCCAATTGATCCAGTAAGAAGAGTAGTGTAAAATAATTCATACTGAAAGGAATGTAAGCCCATCTTTCCTCAGATAGCTGTAAGGAGACTCTGAAAGATGCTCACATAAAGATATCAAGGGTGATATTCTAAACAACAGCCCTCACGGGCTCCAACGCATGAGCATTAGAACAAGGCTTCCCAGACTCGTTTTTAGTATTTATTATTTTTGAAAAGCATTTTGATGGTGCCAAGGATCATGCAAGCCAAGTGCTCTACCACTGAGCTCTCCCCACGGTCTCAAAGGGTATTTTCTGGAATGCTAAGCCAACAAGTGTGGGAAGGGGTTCTTGTACCGTAGTTATGTGGGGACGTGTTACTCACAAGTAGCCCAAAGAAACAAACTGAACACCAGCAGGGCGAAATTTGAGGTCCTTTTCCAGACCTTTAGTTCTGGGCTAAGTATCACTTCCGTGAGGAATCTTCCAGAGTGGTCCCCATCTCCCACACATATCTTTAGCCTTCTATTCCTTTTCACGTTGCTCTGTTACCTTCCACTATAAGCATTATTTCAAAGAAATCTACTAAAATGCCAGAAATCTTAAGCATTTTCTCTTTACATGTTATGGCTGTTGTTTACATCCTAGTTTTATTGATTTGTTTACTGACTCAAGTTTTTCTTAAGGAAGTTTTAAAAAGACATTTGTCCTAAAAAATCAGTTTCTGTGGAGGAGGCAGCTAAGAGTCCTGATTGCATAATTTCTGGGCTGTGACTCGCTTGTTGATAAACTCTGACGCACACTGGATGTTCAGGCCCTGGGTTTTCATCCTTGCAAAAAAGGAGGTGGTCGAGTTGGCCTCTTCTCCTTCCCAGAAGAACTGTGATCAAAAATTGTTTAAAAATTTAAGCTTTTCTTACAATCAAAGACATATTGCCAGTGAGTCCTCTCAGAATACTTCCCCTTGCTTAAACACACTTATGCCATCTTGATGCCTCCTAAAGCAGTTCTGGAAGCACTTTTCTGTGAATGTCTTTGCAAGGTGGGATAAAACATGGTAAACTCTGCTGCCGAGTGCTGTTGCATGGAAAAGCAGGGCCACGGAAATGTCATGGGTGTTCTTATCCACTGGATCCACTGGGTCTGGCACCGTGGAGCTTCTGAATCTTCCCCAAACTCAACATGACCATGAAAAGCCAACATTTTGGTTCAATTTAGGACACAGAGGCAAACATAATAGCACAACTAAAGACTCTGAGAAAAGAAGACTTGTAGAACTGTTTTGAAAGTGGCAAGAGTGATGGAGGATTGTGTTTGTGGTGAGGGGGTTAATGTAATAAATTTAAAAAATATTTCATTTAATATGCTGGAAAATAAAATAGGTAAAACTCTTTTTTTTTTTTTTTTTTGGTCTTTTTCCTTTTTATCGGTACCGGGGATCAAACTCACGACTGCCTGCTTGCAAGGCAGGTGCTTATGCTGCTGAGCTAAATCCCCAGCCCCCAGGTAAAACTCTTGAAGATATAGGCATCCACAAAGACTTTCTGAATAGAATCTCAATGGCACGAGAAATAATGCTGAGGATCAAGAAGTTAAAAAGCTTCTGCACAACAAAGGCAACAATCAACAGAATGAAGAGACAACCTACAGAACAGGACAAAAATATTTGCCAGTTTCTCCATTTGAGGAATATACAGTAAACTCCAGAATACTAGACCCCCTAAAATGAAAAAGATCTAGGAAAAAGGATGGGCAGCTGCGATGAACAGACACTTCTCAGAAAAAGTCCAAACAGCCAGGAAATACACGAAAAAGTATTCAACATCGCTGGCCATTAGAGAAATGAAAATTAAAATGACGTTGATGTGGTAGCACATGCCTGTAATCCGAGCACTTGGGAGGCTGAGGCAGGAGAACTGCTGTAGGCCCGCCTGGGCTGTGTAGTGAGTTCAAGATCAGCCTGGACTCCACAGTGAGACCATTTCTCTACAAAATAAAATAAAATGAAACAAAAACAGAAACACTGAGATACCATCTTACTGCAGAAAGAATGGCTATCATCAAGAAATCAAATAATAACAAATCCTGGCCAGGATGTGGGGAAAAAAGAAACCCTTTTGCTTTGTTAGTGGGAATATATAAACTAGTACAACCCCTATTGAAATCAGTATGGAGATTCCTCAAAAAACTAAAAATAGAAATCCCACTTGACACAGGTATTCTAGGGATCTCCCTGAGAGAGTTAAAGCCACCGTATTACAGGAATGCATTCATACCCCTGTTTATAACAGCATGGTTTGTGCTTGCTTTGGCAGGACATGTACACCCAGCAGCACAGTGTATAACAGCTAGATCTTGGAAACAGCCTGTGTCCCAGATAAATGGATAAAGAAAAGGTGGAGTTTATATACAATGAAGTACTACTCTGCCATAAAGAAGGATAAACTTGAGGTGTTCATAGTGAAATGGATGCATCTTAAGACCATAATGTTAAGTGGAATAAATTAGACACATGAATTTAAATATTACATGGTTTCTTTTATATGAGAAACCCAAAATATACATTGTAAAATAAAAGACAGATAGTAGGAAATAGGGAGATCTTTCTCAAATGGGAAGGAAACAAGAGATGGGGGGAGGGAGAAAGGAGGAAATGGAGAGGAAATGGAGAAGAAGAAGAGGAAGAAGGGGAAAATGGAAATAGAGCTTTTATAAGTAAGAAGGGGACCAAGAGTGGGAAGGGGCAGACAGGGAGGGGGGGCGTAGGACACAAGAGGAAGAATTAAGACGTGCTGTGCACAGGCACCAACTCCCTGCCATAACTATAATCTTTATGTACTGCAAATGTGAACCAAGGAAATGTTGAAAACAATAAAAAGCAGACCGCACACTGGTTAAGTATGCACCATACTTTTTGATAGGCCACATAGATTGATTGCTTTTTTACGACTGGCACTGGTGAGACAGAGTCGTGGTGGATACTGTCCAGGGTGTCAGGCTGTTTTTCTTTCTCATGATCAACTCGATAAAGCAGCCAGTAGTCTAAACAGATCACTTTTCTTAAGTTTTCTTTTCTTTCTTTGTGTTAATATTCATTTAAGCCTATGGTTTTTTTTTGAGGGGGGGCAGTGGTCAGGAGGAGTTTCCAGAATTGAAAGAATCTCTTTCTTTTTTTTCTCTTTTTTGTGATCACAAAATATTCACATTGAGCCTCTGTAATTGCACAGAACTGTGGCACAGATAAATACATGCTTGCACATAATCAGCCAGCTGAATTTCTGTGTTGTACTTTGGTGATTTCAGTCCCAGGGCAGCCGCTCTCGGGTAAAATCTCTATTTGTCCTGAGTCCATCAGGGCCGATGGGCTTTTTAACCACATCCGAATTCTTTCTCCTCTAGCTCCTTATGAACATGGAAGATATAAAAGTCCGTGAAATGCAGATTTTTCACTACAAGAAAAAAATAGCTGAATTGGAGACTAAATTAAAACATCAACAGAACCTGTATGAAGCTGTGAGGTCAGACCGGAATCTGTGTAGCAAAAATCTGGTCGAGGCGCAGGTAAACAATACCTTTGTGTTTACACCTTGGTTCCTCTCCAGCCTGGGTCTAAAGCAGTTTCTGTTATCCTAAAGGCAGGATTTAGGATAGATCAAGAAAGAAAGCATATGCAATTCATCTGAAAAGGATCAATTTTTGTAGGACTGTCAGGTGACTGGATGTGGAGATCATAGTCTTATTTTTAATAATTATGTAGAATCGGCTTTCTCTTCAGTGTAGGTTATAAAATTGCTGCTGACTACCAAGGCTCAGAGGGTAGCAGTGTTGTAACTGCAGAACATTGCTCTGAAAGTTATGTGTGTGCTTTTAGTCCCTTTAGTAAAGTGAGGGTCACAGTGTGTGTGAGGCAGTCATTAGGTAGGGTCTGCAGTATCTCAAGGACTAGTTTGAGTTACTGCTAAAGACATTTTGGGGTTGATGGACACAGGAAATAAAGGATTAGCCCAGTCATAATGGTTCAGGTGAAGCTTCTTTTCAGAAAGTGTCTCTTAAAACCTCTTGAGAATGTATTGCGCTTCTATAGGGACAGCGATGCTCACTTAACGGACTCTCTGTTGTTCCGCCTTTCATCTTGTTAGGATGAAATCACAGAAATGAAGAGAAAGTTAAAGATTATGACCCATCAAGTAGATCAACTGAAAGAAGAGATCTCTGCCAAAGAGTCTGCCCTGGTGAAGCTCAATTTGGAGCAGCAGCGAATAGAAAAGGAAAAAGAAACCCTGAAGGTAGAGATGTTACCTAGCCCTTCCTACGGGGCAGCAGGGCTGCGGGAGCCAGGGAGGTCCCAGACCTGGACTGCTGTTTCCCAGCCCGCCCCCGGGAGGTGCAGGAGGGGAGCGCTGCTGTGTTGCTTGGGTTCCTTACAGGCCAGGCTCCCAGGAGAACGGGAAGGGAGAGGTGGCGATGCACCGCCCTGGGCTCACCTACGAGGCCGCCTAGCGGACTGGCGGAGTCCACGTCTTTGTGCTCCCAGACTCACCACTGTCCCCTGGCATTCACAAGTCCAGCCCTTAGGGACATCCCCATACTCCCAACTCCTCTCTGCGCCATTAACAAGTGGCACCTCCTCCTCCTAATCGTTGCTCCTTCACGTGCGTGCACACAGCTTCGCTTCCCACAGTGTCAGAGCTCCGTCCTCCCTTGCTTTTTGCCTTCAGCAGAATTCTGAGGTCACTTGCCTCTGTGGACCAAAGCCCTTTGCAGCCAGCCCTTCCCCAGTGACGGCCTCTGTCTCCACAGAGACGCCCCGAAGGCACACCACTCTGTCTTATTCTTGTCTGGGACCTTTGCACTGAGCTGCACTCGTGGCCTTTTTTATTTTTATGTGGCTATATGATCTCATTAAGTCACTCAGTTCCCCACGTTGGGTTCAAACTTGTGGTCTTCTGCTTCAAGCTCCCGGAGTGCTGGGATGATGGGCGGGCACCCCCACATCTGGCTAGAGGTACTCTTTTGAGCTTGCTTGGTTAGAGGACACTATGTCTGCTAACACAAGGACTCATTCTAAGAATACATAGCGGACAATTACACCTTTTCAAATCCCCTAAGCACAGGTGCCTTACTCCTCATATCATCAGTCCTGGTGTCCTTTCCTTTTCCCCCTTCAGTCCAGTAGATTCCACTCTACCTCAAGTGAGCAAAGAATTCAGAAGGGAACTCAGAGAAGGACAGCACTTTTATTCTGCAGGATACTAATGGATGCCTAAGAGCCATCTGTAGGACTGTTTGTAACACAGAGAGAGCCCGGGCCTCTTGGTTTCACACATATTAGCTTTCAAAGATAGTCCTGATTTTGAAAATGTATATCGAGCTTTGGACAGATTTAATGCCACATTTCCTTGATTCTAAGATGCCATGGATTGAAATATGCACTCTCAATTTAATAATGGCTTTGGCAACCCAGTGATAGGATTTCATGGAAATAGAAGTACTACATTAAATTAATTTAAGGTACATTTGGTTTGAGAGAGATTAAACTTAACAAAAGTGCTTTTACAAAAAAGACACAGTAATTGATGTATATACTGGAGACTTTTGTCTCTCTTACTCCAACTTATGGAAAAAGCATAGAAAATTCTGCATTAATATTTATTTATATATAGAGAGCTCTACATACATTTTCTAAAATTTGAAAATACTCCTCATCTTTGCCTGGTTCCCCTTGTATGAAAGTTTTATGGGAGGCAGTTTGTGACAAGGGTGGGCATCTTGTGGTAGGATGGGCTTATCCACTGCTGAATAAATCAGAAGTGTGTCATACACATTGCTGTGCCAGGGTGTTCTGGTGCCATGTTAGTGCCTCCAGTGCAGTCTGCTTGGTGTGCCATCTCTTGCCCTTGGAGGATGACACTGGCTCCTTATCTCCCAACTGATGTTCTACCCAGAATAACTATTAACCATAGTGGAGACCAGGGTGTAACTAAGCATCTTCTTCAAACCACTACTGTAAATTAAGCAATGCTTTAAACACAACATCACTTAACCCCAGTTCCTTAGCATGTGACCTCAGTTAATATTTGTTCTCATTGTGCTCTCCGTCATCAGGCATCTGCACCTATAGCTCCAAAGAAGCATCCCAGTGAGATGAAGCTAAGGGTGATTAGGGTCCTGGTATGTAGCCCTGGGCCAGCAGAATTGGCAGCTGGTGGAACTGAAGGGTGATTGTAAGGCTTCTGCTCTGGACAGTGAGCTCCAAACAAGGAATCTTGGGTCTGGATGGCAGTAGGTCATTGATTATAGGCTTTGCTTTGGTTTAACTGTGTAACTATTAATGCTTTTTCTCCCAGCCTTTTCCGTTAAGGGAAGAACAAGGTGCAGAGCCAGGATGCCTGCTTGGTTTATTATTTGAGGTTACCCGAGGGTGACTTGCAGTGGTGTCCCAACTGGATAATTGTGGCCTCTCATCAAGCTCATTTGATATTCTTTAGAAAAATATGACAACTCAAATATTGAGTTTCAGCCCCTTGACTTTTATAGCCTAAGAATCTGAATCACATTTCACATTGGCCTCCGAATTTCATGCCTCTGAAGTTTGAAAATCAACACCCTGGGGAAAAGGGCAGAGTTTCTAGTAACTTTGCTCCAAGAGACATTTATCTTATTATTGTGGGCTACAATCTGGGAGTAGATCCCTGCCGGAGGGGCGAGCCCTTGTCTGCTTGATAGGCCATGAGGTGGTTCTTGCCAGGACACGGCAATTTATTCCTCAAACCCTGAGACAAACAACTGTGGGTTATCCCCAGCCTTTTTCATCACCCCCAGCTGGAACTTCTTGTTCTTCCCATGTTACTTCTCTTTTTCCAGTTGCTCCCAGCCTTTCTTGACTCCCTGGCAGTCCAGATGTTGTCCGTACATTATGGCTATGACAGAATGTCAATAATCCTCTGGAGAAGCGGCCACATCTGTGTTGTTCTGCCGATTCTGTCCCAGCCTGTTTCAGCCACACTGATAGTCATCTTGTTCACAGCCTATGTTGCAGTCCTATGAAGCCCCTGACTTTGTCTTATCATTTCCAGGTCACCCCATATCTATATGACAGTGCTGTGATTCTTGGTGAATTATTCAGTAGCAAATTTCCTAGTCTATAGCTCAGCATCACATTGGGGACGGCTTCAGGGTACCATATCCCTTCACTTAGTGTACTCCAGCCTGACACAATAGGGAGCTGTCATCAGTGAGAGAGAGGGAGGGGCAGAGAGAGAGAAAGAGAGAGAGAGAGAGAGAGAGAGAGAGAGAGAGAGAGAGAGAGAGAGAGAGCCTGATAACTCTCAAGACCAGAAGACATCTTAGTGGTTCATGCAGGAACTGGTACGATTCTCACTAGTATGACTTTTGAAATAAGATTTGTACCCAGAACAAAGTTAGATGATATGCTGTCCATAAACATGTACTATAACATTATACAATTATGGAGGTGTTAACTGAAGGGTGTGTTCTCCCATCTCATTACAAATTTCATGCCCCTAGTAACACTTTGACAGGTGCAGAAACCCCAGGTCCCACCTAAGATGCTGCATGATGAGCTTTTGGGTGCACAGCAATTGTCCCTATCTTTGCTGGGTGGGACAGCTCTGATTTATAACTGCTGAATGTATTAGACCCAAGGTATTTTGTTGATGTTAACATTTGCTGCCAGCATCTAATGCCACATCTTGTTTGCAGCCCATAAATTTATGACATAAGGAGACCACTCAGAATTTTGATATATTATGAAAAAAACACCCAGCATGCCAAATGCATGAATGATTTTACATTTCAGACAGATACTTTTACAGGCTGTTGATTGCATTTTAATATAGCAAGGGTTTCATTTTGTTCTGCTGATGGATTCTGATCAGCTCTTGGCACTTAGGAACAGAGAGTGAGTGTTGCATAGATGGGAAAATAAAAGTTTTATTAAAGAAAGCATGAGACAAACAGGTATTTTATTGCTGTCTTTGCTGTCACCTTAAATGATTATGGAAACAGAAAGACTGGTTCTCCGCTCTCTGTCCTAACAGGCAACCCCACTAAATGACAAACACTAGACCAGCTCTCAACTGAGTGGGTAGTTCTTTTTCCTTGTCTCTAGACCAAAACAAGTTACATGAATGAAACAACAAAATGTCATAAAACAAACTCTTGGTTGCATAGTAGTGGGTTGCATTTAATTTGTCACACTTCACATATATTACTAGGTTCCCGGTATCCCCTGCTGTTTGTGTAAATTTGAGATGTGGGATTAATGGTGCTTAATCTTTATTGATTAGAAGCAGACCTTGCCTGAGTTAGGTTGGTTCTTGGGCACTGGTAAGTCTGGAGTTTGCTACCATCTTGGTAACCTTTTTGAATGAATGGTCATGCAGGACCCAATACTCACTTGAAGGAAAAAAATTACACCTCTTTTGCTGTCATTGGTAATGTGCAGAGCATTGACCCTTTGGGGGTTTATGTCATCTTGTCATCTCCCCTGTGAGCCAGGCATGAATGATGGCAGGCTTGCTCCTCCTCATTCCTTTCTTCTTGCGCTAACCTGCTCAGTTATGTCACTAGGCATAACGCTTTCATAACTCATAGACTCTTTAGAAGACACACTCTTCAGAGAAGACCTATTCTCTAGCATGGTAACTCTGTTCCCTCTTGCATACTCTCTATGGTGCATGGTCTGTGAGGTCCTTTCTAGCCCAGCCCAGTTCAGGTGTTTGGCAGATTCTCCTTCTGCCATTCTTATCGAGTATTTCAGTTCAACTACCTGGGTGGGGTGGGGTCACTCAATCTGGTGAATACATCATCTATTGAGTAGTCTGCTTGCCTTTGTTCACACAGCCTGACTTGACTGTTTGATACCTTCCCCTAATACATACTCCTCCATGTGAGTAAGATCTGTCTACTGCCATAGTATTGTGGTTGTGTCTAGATGTCCCCCCAAAGCCTCATGTGGTCATAGGTGGGGCCTCTTCAAAGGTGGCTGAATCTGCAGATATGATGTTGGAATTCATGATGCAATGCTAGGCTCAAGGGCAGTAGGATTAAAGGTGCCCTAAGTAGCCTGGATAAGGAAAAAGGGGCAGAAAGACGCTGTTAAGATTTCTTCTTTTTTGCTTTGTTACTTTCTGCCCACCACAAACTGTTTCTCCTCTGCAATGCTTGTCTGGCATCCATCCTGCCTTGGAGCCAGCAGATAATGGACTGAAACCTCTACAAACCATGAGCTAAATAAACCTTTCCTCCCTTAACTTGTAGGTGCTGAGTATTTTGTCTCAGCAATGAGAAAAGTAACTGAGGCACAAGACCTTCTGGTTCTTCCCTGTCACTCTCAGACCCAGATAGAAACGCTTTCCTGGGTATTCTTGAGTCCCTTTCCACCGAAGCAGAGAGCGTGTCCAACTGTTACTAGGTGTGCTTAACATTACTGCTGGATGATGAGTTCTCAGTCTTACTCATCTCCTGTATTTGATTTGGAATTATGACCATGGAGGGAGCACACACTTTCACACCAAGAGATCCTTGTTGGAATCTTGATCTGTTGCTAATTGTCCTGTTGCTAATTGTCTCTGTGGCCTTGGGCAAGCTATTTGCTGTACTTTGTCTCCATAATTGCATTCATAAAACAGGTAAGAGGTTTGCAATGTCTGGGATATCTTATGTCACAGAATACTTAGGGACTAGAAGTGGATGTGTACTTTGATGACAAGAGTTTTGTTTTTCAGCTTACTAGTGCATAGCACCACTCACCTATCATTTCTATGAGTTTCATGTGCCTTCAAGGATCACATGAGGTATGAGCATTCTGAGGAACTGTCCCTGCTGACCCCAGTTCAAAGTTGCCTTTGATCTCTTGTACTATCAATAAGAAAGAAAGACATTGAAAAACTAGTGCCTGGATTTATTAATATTTACATTATATTGGTCTATCTTATCATCTTGTCTGGATTGGAAGTGTCTTAGGATTGGGATCTAAAAAATCTTTTTATACCATGATGTCCTTTCTGTCCCTTCAGAGTGTTTAATTAGACACTGTGGTTGATATCTTGACTGATATAGTGTTTGCTTACAGTGGACTTATCATTGTGGGGAACATACTGCTGACCCTAGTGACATAGCAGGAGCTAGTAAACACAGAGGCCTCTTTGGTCTTCACCCCACACATTCTCCTGCTCTGTTCTTAGTGCATTCTCCTTTTACAAGAGGGAAAGCTGCTGCATACCCACTAAGGCCGAGAAACAACAGCAGAACCCTCTCAGGGACATAACTCAGAATAAACATGACCTCTGTACTGTGTGTGTGTGTGTGTAATGTGTGTGTGTGGATGTGATGAGTGTGAATGTGAGTGTGTGCATTATAAGTTTCTTATGTTTGTGAGAGTGATCAGACTGTATTAAATAAAACACCAGGAGAAAGTGGGGCAGCCCAACCGCACGTCTTGTCCAGACCCCGTGGTCCTGGTTTGTGCAGCTGCTGAATACACGTTGGCAACATCAGTCTCTGTTTTTCAGGCTGAGCTGCAGAAGCTGCGACAGCAAGCCCTGGAGACCAAGCACTTCATTGAGAAACAGGAGGCAGAGGAGAGGAAGCTGCTGCGAATCATTGCAGAAGCTGACGGGGAGAGAATGAGGCAGAAGAAGGAACTAGATCAGGTAGCGCCTCCTCCTCGCACCCTGACTCAGTGCTCCTCTTGTGAGTTCTCTGCCCTCTCTAAACCCTGCCACGGAAGCCTATGGGAGGAGCCGTAGTGACCGGTCTTGTGTCAACTATGAAATAGGAGTCCTTTATTTGACTCCTATTTACAAGTCCTCCCTAGGCTTCAGTTGTTTCTCTAGACACTGGGGCCATACACTGGCCAACAAGATGGTGAGGTCCCTGTTCTCAGGGCAGTATAATCCACTGTATATAATAGCCATTAATAATTACATAATTTGGGAGCTAGAAACTCAGATGCCTAGTGTGGCAGTTGGGAACTTAAATACTTTTAGGGCTCTTGCAGAGAGAAACTAAGGCAAGATAGTGAGAAGTGGCAGAACTTGACAAGAATGTAGAAATGTATAAAATCATTCCAATTTAAATAGTAAAAGTGGTTGAAAAAACAAAGAAAATGACATGGCCATTGGCTAAGGATTATTAGACTGTTATTACAGATTATTTGTTGTCCAGTGAGTTCTAGGACTAAGGAGAACACAGATGCTTTGAGAAAGTCTGGTGTTGATTGTCTAGCAGGCTATTTCCGGTGCTACATCTCCTGGGCATTTGCTAGATATCCCGAGCCTGCCACGATGGAAAAAGAGACTTTTTGATTCAGGTTGCCATGCTCTCTCCTGCCTCTCTAGGTCATCAGTGAAAGGGACATCCTGGGGTCTCAACTTGTTCGGCGCAATGATGAGTTAGCTTTGCTCTACGAGAAGATCAAGATCCAGCAGTCCGTGCTGAACAAAGGGGAGAGTCAGTACAACCAGCGGCTGGAGGACATGAGGATCCTCAAACTGGAGATCAAGAAGCTTCGCCGGGAAAAGGGCATTCTCGCCAAGAGCGTGGCTAATGTCGAGGAGCTCAGGTAACAGGAGACCAAAGGGATCAGCAGGGAACCCCTAAAATGACCTCATGTTCATACCTTTTACTCATTCAAGGTCTTGGCCAAAATTGCACAGAATGGCTTGTACGGGATGAAACTGTCAACCAACATCATGAACAAATTTTCCATAAAAACCTATCTATGGTCCTCATGCTATGACAGCAAATGAGCTGGTTTTCTTCCAGTGGTCAGGGCTAAGTACAAAAGATATCAGAAGCTATGCTGGATTTTTGAAAGGAAATTTATTAAATCACAAATACAAACTGGTTGCAACTCAGAAACACTTCTTTCCCCAATGAGCTCTTTCAAATTTTTAAAATAAGACAGTATGCAAGAGATGGAACATTAATATTTAAATTTCATTCTTGGGAACATTTGCACATCTTTTCCTGGAATTATATACAGGATAAAAAGAGACAGAAAACTGAATTCCATCACTATTTGAAAATCTGTTTCCTTAGAAGGCAGCCAAATTTTATATCTCGCTTCTGATTTATCTCCTGCAGCTTTCACGTTAGCTCAGCGTCCCTCTTCTTTCTTTAAATCTTGCATTACCCAAGATCTACTTTCCCTGTGGGAAAACATCGCTGTGTTTTATGTAGGCAATCGCAGGAAAACCAATCAGAGGTCTTTTTCAGGCTCTCCTTACTCCCCTCAGACTTATAGACCACCGTCTCCTTGACTACCCTGGGATAAGGACACAGTGTGGATTGGCTCCTTCAGTTAATTGAATTAGAAGATGGTTTTACTGCCTAGATGCATGACTATATCCAGAAATAGTGAATGTGTCCGTCTATCTATCAGTCATCTACCTATCTAGAGTTGCTTGTATTTCATTTAATGGAAGTCATACAAATATGTTGTAGAAAGTGTGGGAAATTCAGGAAAAGTATAAAAAAGGGACTGGGAAATCACTCATAACTTTACTACCTAGAAACACTATCACTGACATTTTGGATACAAATATATTCATTTTAAGTAGGTGTTGGATGATCTCTGGGACCATCACTCAACTTGTCAACTGTGAGTTACTTTAATGACATGCATGAAGGGTCACATTTGACCAATTTCTAGTCAGTACTGCTAGTTTGTTGATAATGGGTTCTATTTTTCATTCCAAGGAGAAGACAACTTGATAAAGACTGGAAGCAAGCAGGGATGAATTCAAACCTCAGCCTTGCCACCTATAAGCTGTTTGACCTTGGATAGATTACTAACCTTCTCTAAATTTGGACTCATAGTTACCATTAATTATGAAAATAAATGCGATGTGCCTAGCACTGAATTTAGTGCCAAGGAAGTCATCAATTATGGTAGCTAACGCGTAGTACCCTCTTCTGATGGCACGCAAGGAAACCCAAGTGTTAAAAATATGCTTTTAATTCTAAGCAGCTTGTTGTATGCTCCCTATTGAGTGAACATCACGCAGTTAATTCTAATGATTTGTCTTGCTAATGAGGGGAAGTTGTATTATTGGTTTAAATGAAGCAATTAAGTAAAAGAGATGGCTTAGTGTTAGTAGCGTGCACATCCACGGCAGACTGAGGACAGATAATAATGTCCTCCTGGCACGCATCCGTGCGAATGCTTGCCCCTCCTCTACCTCCCCGCAGGACTTTTGATTTAGAGGGTGGCAGCCAGTGCCGGCATGCGAGGATGTCTGTAGCATGTCACCCATGAACCAGAAGATTCCCAAAGACTTTGGCGATACATTTGAGCCAGGGCGTTTGGGCTTTTCCCACTATCTCTGTACAATAGTTGTGGACATTGAAGTGAAATATCCTCCCAGGTCCCGACTCTTTCTCAGCCCTGACTGCATGTGAGCATGACTTACAAGACTAAAACCCACAGATACCAGACCCTGAGCCAGGCCCATGCTGGGGACTTCCTCTGGAGTCACACTCGCCCGGTGACCACTATGGCAGTAAAAGTGAGGTGCGCCGTCTTCAGGGTGCCACGTGGCCACCTGCGTGGTAGTCGTTTGTAGTCAAGTTAGGGCGTGCCCAGTAGAGGCTGCCCACAGCTGGCTGCTGCAGAGACGTTTAGAAATTCAGAAAGGGTACTGAGCTCTCATGAGTGGCCTCCCCACCTCCTTTTCTTCTGAGCTTCTAAATTCCTTAGCATTAAGCCTCTAGATTATGAAGTCTGGTGTTGTTTACACCTCAGGCAGTTCTTTGGCACTGCAAAAATGCTGAGACCCGTCTCAGCATTCACAGAAGTCTCTTGAATTCCAGCTTTTTATGTAAGATGTGGCACGTATGTAACCATTTAAAGATATGATATTCCCATGGGCAGAGAACGTTTTTGCAAAAGGAGATTTGTCTTCTTCAGGCAGGAGCTTTTTCACATGCAGAGAGAATTCCTGAAGGAGAGGACCCGATGCCGAGCCCTGGAGGAGGAACTAGAGAACCCCATGAACGTACACCGATGGAGGAAGCTTGAGGTGAGCCTGGTGACACAGCCTAGCTGCCTCCCCTCTCCCCTTCTACCCTGCCCACACTTCTCACCTGGAGCTCAGTAAGCGATGCCTTTAACTTAATACTATGCAAATGATCGCCTAGAACATAAGACCAGATCCAGCATAAATGGGGTCGTTCCACAACCAGATGGTTCATTTGGGGTTTGTTTACAAAGCTTTGAACAAAATCTTCTCTGCTGAAAAAGACTCAGTGAGCCCTGTGAACTGCCTTCACCAATGGTGATTTGTTTTCTTGTTTGGGTGATTTCCGGTCCACCAGTTATCCTGCGGCTGCCTGTTAGTCTTGGGTTATTAATTGCCTTAAGTTATATTGGCCACCGGTGATTTAACTGTCTTTCAATTTGTCTTCGCATCTGTTCGTTTCTTGCAGGAAATGTGGTTCCATGGATTAGCCATTGTAGACACTAAGGTCATGTTAGCCAAACTCATTTCTCTTAGAATCTGGGGCATGGCCAGAGTTCCCTGAGTAGGAGATGGGCAATCAACCTCATGTTATATTATGACTTCCTGATAGACATTGCCACCGGTAATACTGCAGATACCAGTTAGAACAGCTCTTTTTGCTCAAGGCAGAGGAGGCCCTCTTCTTTAGTGGTCTCAGCAGTCTCTGTGCCACAGGGGGCTTTTACTAAATGACCGGTTAGGGTGTCCAGGGGCAGGAGTCCGCAATGCCAGAAAAACCAGAGGGGGAGAAAAGCAGTCAAGTGAGTTTTTGTTTAATTTTGTTCCCTTTTAATGAAGAAAGCATTAAGGCTAATGCATCATAAATTGTTATGTAAACATGAGGCCTGCGTTTCAACACTGTGCAGCCCTGCCAAGTGCATGGGTGCCCAGTGGGTCAGGGTGTTTGCTGTTGGTGAGCTCCCCACAGTGCTTCTGCAGCAGTCAATGAAATTCTCCCCCTTCCCTCCCCTCCCCTGCCCTTCCCTTCTCTTTCCTCTTCTCCTCTCATCCTCTTCTCCTCCCCATCATTTATTCCTCTTCAGATAAAATGGGTGGCAGAGTTCACTAACCCAGAGATCCCTCTTGAGAACTGGCGATGAAGATTTTAAGTCCATCACATCAGTTTATTTCATGTATTTCCAAGTAGATCTTTAAACTTTGCAGCTCCATGTCTGTTTCTATTTTAAAAAATTAGAAAATAGGTATTCTGGGAGGCTGTTAAAAACACCCAGATACTAGATTAACACATCAGTGCAGTTGAGAGTGGAGGTCTGGCCCGAAGTCTGGAGAACAAACCATCAGCTCAGAAGCCCAGCTCTGGTTTGCTTGGCACGCGGCGGACCCCTCTCAGAGCAGCATCAGGACTTCAGGGGCTGATGGCTCGCTTGAGGGTGAAGCACCATGGCCATGTTTGGCTGCCTGCTATTACCACAGCAAACATCCGTGTCCTCACCACCTTTCCCGTCATGGGCTGGACCAATTTTCTTGTTGACAGTGACCAAAGAAGGATCCAAAGGTTGAGTGGATTAGGGATCCCAGCTCATTCCCACGGAAACAGTGAGCCTCTGGGGAAACCTCCACAGCTTTGTAAGGCAGCACCACAGCTCTGGTCTCAAATCTAGCTCTAGTCCTTACAGATTTCAGCAATTGAGCCAAATACTATGTGCCTCAGTTATCTTATCTCTAAAAAGGGAAATCTAACTCTATCTTCTAAGGCTGCTGTGCAGCCACGATGTGATTCTATATGACAAACCTCAGCATAGCAAATGGGTGGTGGTGAAAAATCAGGGGTCACACGCAACAGTTATACTGATAATATTATTATAATAATTATTGTTATTACCTTGCATGCATGAGCTAAGGGCATAGATAAGACATTAGGAAAGTTGCAGTCTGTTTTTTTTTGAGGGACAGCTATTTATCACTGTCCTATCCCTTTTCTGTTTTGGGTTTCAGTTCTCTCTGTGTTGGGTCTTCAGATTTGAAATAGATTTTAGTAAAACAGTACTTATGTTACATAGGACCTCAGTACTTTGAAACTGATGAAATATCAGCTGTTTTTTTCTTCTTCTTCTTGGACAGGCCAGTGACCCCAGTTCCTTTGAGCTTATACAGAAAATCCACGCCTTGCAGAAGCGGCTCATCAGCAAGACGGAGGAGGTGGTGGAGAAAGAGCTGCTCCTGCAGGTAGCTTTTCCTACGGTTTCCCCCAGCAGGCCTATAGCGCCGCATGCCCATATTTAACGGTAGATGGCGACAGCGACTCACACATAGAACACAAACGCGGCCTGATTAATTGGGCTTCTCTGCCAGATCACCAGTATTTCAAGAATTCTGGAAAATTAAGTTCAGAGCTAGACTTCACTGCAATCTGGCAATGTGAATATTTCTCTCACTTTGCTACAGTTTTATTGGGCAGATTCTTCTAAATATTTTTGTTCATGTCTTCATACAATGTGCAATGCTGTGACTGATTTTGAAAGGAAGCTTTCACATACAGTGCACATGATCTGTCCATAGAAGCATCAGTGTGAGAGAAGTGGAAAAACATCTTTGAGGACTCCATGCCACACGTTTTTCTGGCCCTTTGGCCTGTATCTTTGTCAAAGGTGTCTTGGCCACCATCTGAGCCATCTTTCTCCTCCTCTTCTTCCTCTTCCTCTTCCTCAACTGCTGCATGCAGGTGCTGCTGGGCAGGGGCTTTCTCTACCTTTTCTCATTTTCTCTTCACAGTTCGGGGTGTGGTGGGGATTGTCATCCACAATTGATGGATAAGGAAGTTGGGGCCTGGAAGTTTAAGAGTAAGATAAGAAAAGCAGCTCAGAAGTCAGATGGTCTGTGTTGAAATCCCACCTCTGCCAACCTCTAGCTCTTTAAATTTAATTTCTCTGCATCTTAGGTTCTTAATTTGTGTCATGGGACAAGATTGGAGCTGTGCAACGGGATGTTCTGAGCACTACGTGATCTTAGCACTGTGCCTGGCCCATAGTGTTGACTAATGATTCTGGGGAGTTCTGATTCTGAGACCCCCAATCACACCTGCTGAGTTTCCCTTAGTGGGAGCAGGAACTTCTGCACATGTGCATGTGGCCTTTGGCCCCTTCTTTTTCATGTTTGGCCTTGAAAGATTTTTTTCCTAAAGTTGGGTGTAGTGCGAGTGACATTCCCAGGTGTCACAGCTGAGTACCAGCAGAGGGTTATTCTCCTCACCTGTCTCTGGTAGATGAGAGAAGGCAGATTTTGTATTTCACTGGCTGCTATCACTTATTATTCCTTCCTCTTCACTGTTCCTAAGATTGATGTTGTTTGTCCACCTTTGTTCACCATTGTTTTTATTTTCTCCTTCCTTCCTTCTTTCCTTCCTTTCCTTTCCTTTTAATTTTTCAGTGCTGGGGATGGACCCAGAGCCTCCTGCATGCTAGGCAAGTGCTCTACCATTGAGCGATACCCTAACCCCCTTCTTTCCTAACATTTAAGTCTATAAAACATCTTTCAAATAATTTCTTTAGTTCCTTACCACAGGTTTTGATACTTAACATTTTCATTTAGTACTTTTTTTTTAAATTTTAAGAGCTATTTCTCCTTCAAAAAGTAAGTCTGAAAAATATCCACTATTTAATGAAACTCAGGGAGTTCAAACAGGAAACCCCCTGCCAAAATAGTGAAACTACCATATTGACTAATCTATGTAAATGTGAGAAAAACAAAAATGTTTGCAGAGCTGATCAAAATGGTTCAAAATGTGTGTGATAAACTCACCAAAGATACAAATGCTGTGAAAAGGTGCCAAACAGAAATCCTGGAGATAAAATAGTCTGTAGAATTCATAAACAGCAGAAACGATCAGTGTGAAGACGAGGTTTCAGAAATTGAGAACAAAATGAAATCCGTGATGAATCACTTAAGAGAGACTTAAACATAATAATCATAACAACACAAAAAATTTATGCAATATCTACTAGATGACAAAAGAAGACTAACCTAAGGGTAACTGGAGCTAGGGAGAACCTAGAAGATAATGCACATTAAAATAAAAAATTCACTTACAGGAATAAAAAATCTCCAACTAGGAAGAAAGAACTCAACATATAGTACGCTAAGTAATTACAATGAAAAAGAAGCTCCAACACATCATAGTCAAAATCCCAGATGTCCAACAAAAAGCAGAATCTTAAAAGCTGTCAGAGAAAAGAAAAAAAATCACATATTTATACCCATTAGGATTATAGCAGACTCTGCAACACAAGCTTGAAAGGCCAGGAGAGCTTGGAGGGAAGTGTTTCAAGCCCTAAAAGTAAACAACTTTTCAACCCACACTAATATATCTTGCAAAACCATCTTTCAAAATTGATGGAGAAATAAGAACATTCCATGACAAAGAACACCTTAAGAAATTTATAACCCCCAAACCAGCACTCCAAAAAAAAATTCTCAAGATATCCCAGAAAGAGACAGTGAAGAAGCAAAGCCAAAAAAAGGGAACAAGTACGTACAAGTACATCAAGCAACACAAGTAGTCAAATAAAAAAGGAAAAATAAAAAAGAATGACAGAAAAGGAGGGCAGCAGCAGTAATAAATCAGTACCTTTCAGGAATAACTCGGTGTAAATGGCCTCAACCCCTCAGTGAAAAGACAGAGATGAGCAGACTGCATTAAAACAAAACAAAAACAAAATCCAGCAGTCTGATGTATTTAACTAACTCATTTAACCCCCAGAGCAAATCAAAAGATAGAAAGCAACATTCCATGCACTAGGACCCTGAAAGGAAGCATGGGGAGCACATCTCAAAGCAAGTTTCAGGGTAAAACTGATCAAAAGAGGCAAAGAAGGTCACTGCATAGTAGTTAAGGGAACAATTCAACCAGAAGAGACACCAACGGTAAATATATATGCACCAAATATTGGAGCTCCTAGTTTTATAAAACAAACACTGCTGGATATAAAAGATCAAATAAACACCAAGATAGTCACGATGAGTGACCTCAATACCTCACATTCACAAAGAGACAGATCAGTGAAAGAAAAAAATCAGAGTTGAACCACACCTGTGGACAAGTGGACTCAATAGATAGCTACAGAACATTCTCCCCTACTACAGTGGCACCTTGGGCCATGGACATAATTCATTCCATGGTTCTGGAAAAGATGGCCACATTTGTGTGAGTGTGGGACAAATGGCCATGGTTCTGTTCATCACCGGATGCAGTTTGCAAACAAAAACAAAATTTTGCCAAAACATCTGTCTGTGAACCGAACTGTTCACAAACAAAAACTGTTCATGAGTCAAGTACGACTGCATAGTAGATACACATTTTTCTCAGCAGCACAGAGAACTTTCTCCAAAATAGGCAATATACTAGTCCATAAGGCCTGCTTACATAAACACAAAAGAACTGAAACCATTCCATGTGTACTATCAGATTGTCACAAACTGAAACTAGAAATCAACCTTCAATCAAGAAGCAAAAGACATCTTTTTAGCATCTGAACATTAAGTAACACACATTAAGTAACACTCAGTCACTCAAGAAGCAATCAAAGAAGACATCAAACAATTTCTAGAAGCAAATGCCATGGCCAGTAGAACACAATGAAAGCAGCCTTAAGAGGGAAGTTCATTGCAGTCAGTGATCATATTAGAAAAACAACAAACTCAAATAAATCACCTAATGGTGAGTCTCAAAATACTCGAAAACCAAGAACAGTCCAAATTCAAACCCAGTTTAAGGAGGCAAATCATAAAGATTACAGCACAAATGAACAAAATTGAGACTCATAAACAATACAAAGAATTGGTGAATCAAAGAGCTTTTTTGAAAAAGAATAAACATTTTTTGAAAGAATAAACAACAATAAGCTATACCCTTAACTAAATTATGGGGGAGAGAGAGAGACAGAGAGAGAGAGAGAGAGAGGAAAATCACATTAATGCATTAACAGTGAAAAGGCTATATCACAATGAATGCTGCTGAAATCTATAAGAGCCTTTTGACTACTATCAAAAATTGTACTTCAACAAATTAGAGAAACTTGAGGAAGTTGACAGATTCCTAGACATATAAGAATTACCATAACTGACCCCAGAAGACATAAAAATTATGAACAACCCAATATACACAGTGAAAGGAAGACAATAATTAAAAACAAAACAACACCAATGAAGAAAGCCCAAGATCTGATGGGTTCATCACAAAACCTTCAGGGAGGCTATAACATGAATACTCTTCAAGCTCTTTAATGAAATTGAAAGGCAAGGAGTATAGTGGTACCTCAGTTGTCTCATGGCCCCAAAGCTCAAACTTTTTAGTACCTAAACAGCAAAGTCTGAAAATAATCTGATCTGTGTTCATAATTTTGTTCAATAGTTGAACTGAAAATCTGGCGTGAGAAGCCTGCACAGACAAAGAATGAGTTGTGGGTTCTGTCTCACGAAGGTTGATGTCTTACTCTAAGCACTGCTCTCACCCAGACAGCATACAGTGCTTGTATTCCTGTGATGTGTGCTGCTATATTTGCTTAAGACACCATAACCAGGGCGCCAAAGAAAGTTAGTGATTCTGGCAGTAAGGCTAAGAGGAAAACTGTGGGAATCATGTAGAGTTAAAGAAAGAAATCATTGTGAAATTTTTTAAAGTCCTAGAAAAATGAATTGATAAGTGCAGTTTTTGGGCCTTAGAGCCAATTGTTTGGTTAACTATTTGTTATGGGAAAATATGTTCATTTCTTGATTTTTTGGTGTTTGAACATGAACTTGGAAGGAACTGAGATAATAAATGAGGTATCACTGTACTTCCAAACTCATTTCCAGAAGCCCTGAGAGGGGCCCAACTAAACAAGAAAACTACAGGCAAATCTTTCTTTTTAGTGAGTACAAAGATCCTCAGTAAGATGTTGGCAAATTGAATGAATCATCAAAAGGATATTATGACATGACCAAGTAAGTATGCAAGGATGGTTCAACAGCTACAAATCAGAGAATCAAATACACTACATAAACAGAAACAAAAGTAGAAATCACATGAGCATATCAGAGAAAGCTTTTGATGAAATCCAAAACCCATTCATGACAGAATCCCTAAAGAACATAGGTATCTAAGGAACTTACTTCAACCTGATAAAAGCTCTTTATGATAAACCAATGACCAACGTCGTATTAAATGAGGAGAAGCCAAAAGATTGCCTTTT